GCACTAAGGCACATATGACCACACTAATGGAGTCTATAAATTTTATATAATTAAATTTATAGATATTGTGTTATCATTTTTCTTAATTAATTAAATACATTTTAATTTGCACAATTAAACAATACCATACCCATAATATAACCCCATAAACTATTAAAACTTCAAATATTCCATTTATCTCAATAAATTTATGTATACAATGAATAATGAATAGACAAAAATGTCTTTGTTATATATTGCCTTGAATAAGTATGTGGTCTTAGATTGCACACAGACATATTTTATATATGGGGCTTAAGATATAGGTTGACGAAATTTATTACCAAGAAATAGTTAATCCAACTAAAGTTTTGCTTTATATGCTTTATTGAATTCATTCCAAAATTGTCCTACATATCAAAAAATGAAATCTACACCAAGTAACATTCAAACTGCATTTAACATTTTATTAATGTATTTAATATCGTTATTTTTGTAGCTAACTTTTTTTGTTGAAAACAATTTTACCTAGAACATATTTTCCTTCTTTTTTTCATTTTCGTATTTTTACTGTATCAAAATCTATTTTTTTTCATTTTTTTCTACATAATATTAAAAATTATTTAAAAAAACATATTTTTTATCGGAAGTAGTCATCTATATACACTCGTAGAAACACGTAGTCATTTGTACTAACATAATTTGAGACCGTAACTCCCTGTTTAAACCCTAGCCGACAACCAATCGTAGACACTTACACTAACTCATAACCACTCATAGTCATCTACCCTCGTCCAAAATAAACCCTAGATTTGCAACCACGCCGTCAGCATAGCCATCACCTTTTCTATCGCCATAACGGCCGCCACCACTGTCTATATAATCACCCCCAGTCCCCCACCATACCTACCGCCTTCATTAGCCGCATCCATAATTAACCACCCCCATCATACTCACCGCCTCCATAGCTGTCGTCATCCACTACTATAGCCACCTCCATAACCACTTCCACCAAACCTTCCGCCCGCATAACCACCCCATCATAACTAAGGAGCGAGAGATCGAGAGATCTAACGAGCGAGAGAAAATAGATGTTACATGTAGGGTATAATCACAAGTTATGGATATCTTAAAAAAAACTAGTTTGTTGATGTGCCTAATTGGGTTTTAACCCAAAAAGCCCAAGAGACTCATTCGAAGGAAAAGCCCAACACAAAGGCCCTTAATTAAGAACTTCATAAGAATATTATGGGAATTAATCTAATGTTTTTTGTCCCACATTAGTTTTCTACAAGAAAAAACAAAGTCCACCTATATATAAATACGTGTTATCAATCACATAAGAAGATAAACATTATTTAGGCAATTAATTAATATTATTTGCTTATATTGTGATAGTTTTCTGACTTGCGCGTCGGAGGACAATTGTCGGGCTACCCCCGGCGGCGTGTCACCTAGTGTTTTCAACTGTTTTGTAGGTTAACGAGTTGAGCGGTCCCTTCGACTACCTCGGACGCATGACAAGGACTCTCGACATTCCCGATATTGGGCTTGAAGATTCCCAAACTTAGGAGACCTGTGGGCTTCAAGATCATTGGACTGATCCAACATTTTGGAGCAGCATCATTTGTGATTATTATTTAGTACCAATTAGATTTAGTTTGAGGAATCGGAGTCTATTAACACCTTATATACATAGCATTAATTAGCAATTAACTAGCTAGCATGTATATATAGCTGGTGATCATGTATGTCATGCATGAGTAAACAAATGTTGCTATCGAAACAATAAAAACAAAGGAAAATCGAAGCCAATATATTGCGTGTTGACATCTAAAATAATTATTATTAACTAATCAAGAAATTGGCTGTGCATATATGTAATGAAGTCTTTGTATGAACTATATAATAGTCTTTTCGCATGCACAAACTTTCAATATCTCCGATCCTCTATTTTATTTTGTTCACACTTTTGCTTTGTTTTCACATTAACATCTGATTATGAAATGCTACACTCGGTAAAAAACATTTAATGATTTTGCATCGTAGATCTATACAAACAGGGATGCATACCAGTTTTAGTTCACTTTTTTTTATTATTGTGTTATTTATCTATTAATTTATGTATTTTAGCCCCAAAAGTTAAAATTTTATACACTTTTAGTCTATTAAAATATTTTTAGCCCCCTACCCAAAATCCCCTCGGTCCGCCTCTGTATACAAATAACTACCACTAAGTATATATATTTATGAATATGCATGTTATTATGTGTAGATCTGTGGTGTATAATCACTCAATGTATTTTATGGAGCATAGATATATTTCATCGAGTGTAGTATCTACGAAACTCGTACTGCCAGTGGATTAGGTCCAAGTGATGTGATCGCATTCGCCTTTTTCCTCACAAGAGAATTCCGAGGCCAATTTCACATTGAAACCTTGTAAATATTCTACAACTCATATATTATATTAATCAGTTATAATTAAGAATTAATAATATCTTTTGCCTTCCACTGCTACAGACAAAACGAAAAAGTGCCATAAGGTCAAAATTATTGACTGAAATTTGCGGGTTAATTAATTGCTCCTATTAATTTAATATTCTTGCAGAATGTTTTCATATGCTAGGTCAACATGCACAAATCAAGAATATTATTTAAAAAAATAATATTATATGCATTAAAAAAATTGAAGCAATTGGCAAGATAACGACACTACTTTCAAACATTTTTGGTCTGATATATCGATTTAATAATGTCTGGTACATAATCACAAACCAATATTTAACAACCAATTAACAATTCTCTCTTTTAGACCAAATTGTTTCTCAGAGAATGAAAGTAGTTCGCTATCTTGCCAAATTTATGATCATTAAATTATCTTTTTTAAGATTTTATTTTTTCAATTACTCGATAATTACCTAACTAAATAGAATTAATTTAGATTATGTATTTATGGTTTGCTCGGTTCGATTGACAAGATTCATACATTCTTCAAATTCGCTACTAAAATCAAAATCAAAATCATGTATTAAATTATATTATTTTATTAAATTAGTAGCAAATTTAATAAGAGCGACTAAATAAGTGAAAGACTATTTTATCCTTTAAATAACATGTTAATTTTATTATATAAAGAAATCTAATAAGCAAATTACATAAAATACCATAATTTAATTAACATATTTAATATAAGATCTAAGCGAATGAACTGAACGTCTTACTAATTAAATAGTAATTAGTTGGTAGATAATTAATGAATCTCATATAATTCAAACTAATCAAACATAAATAACTGGACGAGCCCTTAGTATATATTGTCAATGTATCCAAACTACAGTTATTTTTACCTAATATTGACTCTATATAATAGCATATCCAACCTTACTCAAGGGTGTGCAGTTGCACGCTCTTGATTTTTTTTTTTTTTATGTTACCTATATAATTATCAATTATATACAATTACAATTACAATTACATGTGACAATTTTGTTGAATTGAGCTATAGTGCAAATGGTTGGAAGCTTCACCTGCACTTCTTAGATAAATGGTTCAAACTCATTCTACTTCCAAATATTTATTTTTGGCACATTATACAAAATCGCCCCTTTACGATTTCACCAATTTCCTTTCTAAATATTTCTAAATGTTTCTAACATTCTCATCAAAATTGCAAACCATCTTTTGTTAATTTAGAACTTTTTGCAATTTTTATTATTTAAGTGTTCATATTATTAAAAAAATTGGGGTTGCTACCCCGAACTCTAGTAAACTTTTAGTCCAACATATTTACTAGCCATCATTTATATTTTTACTATACTCAAGATTCAAACATTCTTGGATAAATTTCTAAATTTGCCACTGACCATATGAATTATCCTTATAAGAAAACTCATCAACCAAAGTTTAGTTTTTATTTATTGTAACTACCAAAAAATCAAAAATCAACTAAAAATGTCGAAAACAACTAAAAACTATCGAAAACAACTAAAACTATGGTAGAATAACGAAAGCAACTATAAACAATAGCAAAATAGCAAAAACTATTATATTAGTGTGGAAGATACCTAACACCAAAAGCATCACAAAAAAAAAATCAAAATGATGGCTTGGGGCACAAATATGAAAGGGGACGAGGCGGTGGCGGTGAGGTCTCACCAGATCCGACGACGGCGGAGATGAGGAGTGGATGTAGAGAGGGGATTATGAGTTATCGATGTTGTCGTCATCTACAACTAGATCGAGAATTGTAACGATGACAGTGGCATCGGCGAGGACGAGAATTTTTTGTCACCGAGGCACTGGGGAGAAGTTTCTGGCAGCACCGTACGGAGATGCGACGACAACAGTACAGAGACGCATCGGGCATAGATGTTTACCAGACAAGATGGATGCCCCTATCTTGTACCCCCTTGTTTCGCATATGCTACACAAGCATTGGGGCCCTTTGGAGAATGTGGTAAGAAATTCGTAACAGAGTTCGACCACAACAACCGAATTGATTATCTTCATGTATGTGGATACTGGATCTATTCCATATTTTTTTTTTCTTTTTTGGGTCTTTTTTTTTCAAAATTATTTGTCATTTTAGTATTTCAATAAAGTATTAATTGTATTTTTTTTTTTTATCAATTTTGCACTTTAACATTTTGAATTAGTTAATTAAAATTTAATTAATAACACAAATATTTTAATATATACTATGTTATTTTTAGTAGAATTTATGCATATTTATTTAATTTTTTAATATACGCGCCACCACCCAAACAACCATATAACATGAGATGGAGGGAGTACATCCCATCAATCTAATTAAATCGCAAAAAATAATATAAAATATTCAACTAATTCTTTTCAGATTATGCAGGTACATATCATATCTAATAATTCTAGATAATGAGTAATTAATTTTATTTCATTTTCCATTAGTGGAATAATAACAAGATTAGCGTTAAAACCCGGTAACACAATTCCATAACTGTGGGTCCCATTAAATTGATGTATTTCTTTTTTTTTTTTAATCAAACCTGCCCAATACGCAATCTATGAATAAACTGCAAGACCACTTTTTTTTACCCTTTACTAAATTTTTAATTAATTAAGAACCTAATTTGCCGGCGATATGATATTTATTATACAAGGGCATTCCCGTATATTCACATCTACATCATCAATATTGAACTACTATATAAGCAACTTCAGTACAAACCAAATTTCAAACATTCATCTAAGTTCAGTTTATAAAAGCGATAAGTAGCGAAAGAGAAAAAGATGCAGCATGGAGCCACCGCGACGACGACTGAGCACGGCGGAGCCGCCGGATTTTCCGCCTTGCACCCGGACATCATAAAGTCCCACGTTCTCACCAGGCTGGACGGGCCAGCTCTCGGCTCCGCCGCCTGCTGCTCCGCCACACTCCGCCACATCTCCGACGACGGCAAACTCTGGTCCGACATATGCCACTCCACGTGGCCGTCAACGGCCAGCTCGCCGCGTCTCAGCCACCTGATCTCCAATTTCCCCGACGGCGGCGCTCGCGCCTTCTTCTCGCACGCCTTCCCCGTCGTCGCGGCCGACGGCGGTTCCGTCCGTCCGCCGTCAAATCCGCCGGCGGAATTGATCTCCGCCGTCGACATCTTCTACAAGGGAAAGCTGATATTCTCGAAGGTTCAGGAGACGGAGACCGTTACCGGTTGGTTCCGGTGCTCGCCGTTCAGGATCGACCTGCTGGACCCCAAGGACGTGGTCCCCACGCGCGTCAAGCACCCGGAGGGCGACGGCGCGTGCGCGGAGATGATCGACGACATGGTCCTGAGCTGGATTCTGATCGACCCGACCGGACGGCGGCGGGCGGTGAACCTCTCGTCCCACAAGCCAGTGGCGGTGCAGCGCCACTGGCTGTCGGGGGAAGTGCAGGTGCGGTACGCTTCCATCCTGGCGGCGGATCAGGGTCACGTGCAGTGCGGGATAGTGGTCACGTGCGCCGCCTCGGAGGGCGGGGAGATGCAGGTGGGGGAAGTCAGCGTAGAAATGGAGGACATGGATGGAAATCATTTGACCGGGAAGGACAGTTTGGTCTTTTTGCATGGGGCGCTGGAGGGCAAAAAGGGAACCGGGAAGAACCGGGTTGACGAGGGTCAACGGCGGTACTGTAAGTACATGGAAATGAAGAGAGAGAGAAGAGAGAGAAAGTTGAGGGTAGAATCGGCATTGGATATGTTCTCTGTGGCTTTTGGGATATCTCTTTTTGTCGGTTTCTGCTGTTTTCTTCTGTGCAGATAAAGATGAGCATAAGAAATCAAAGGGGCATAATAGGAAATTAATTAAAGAATGTAAATAGTAATACACATTGATATTGACTATTAAATAATAGGATATATTGTTTGAGAGAATTCTATTTTGTCGGCGCGAGTAAAGAATCTTTTAAGGAAATTGCCATTCACGTGTTTGGATTGGAAGTTATATATGGTGCATGCTTTTATAGTGTTCAATAAATACATAAATAGATATTCCCATTAAAAAAAATGTGTGGCTAGAACTAATACAAAAATTTCTTACTTTAACACTATCAAAATAAAAATTAAATAATAAATATTTAATGACATAAATATTCTAAATGGAAATTAAAATCAAAAATATATTATAAATCTCATTTTTCTTTTCTTCTGTACCAAACATACAAACCTTTCTCAAACTCATCCCCTTCATAAATCTTTCACCCACTCCTTCTTCTTTCTACCAACAAAACCATCCTAAAAATCTCAAAACTAAAAGAAATCAAAATCTTACACAACTTGTAAAATGGAGTCAAATGATAATAAAAATGTAATTTACGAGTAAGGAGAACCCATTAAGATATATATTCATTTTTTTTAGCTTAGAAGTCAATTTTGAAAGTTTTTTTTTAAGCCGCCATCCATTTTCGAGTCATACAGGTCGAAAATGTGTGTGTTTTTCAATCTGTGCGCGTCGAATAAAATAAAAATAATAGATATTATGAATTTCGACGGGTGAGTGTCGAATTACATTGAATTTTCGACATCAAAGTTTATTTCTTTAAAAGCCATAAGGAGAAACTCCATAAGTAATTTTTAATGAGATAAATGAACTTCAAATTTTCAAATTGGACTAACAGAATAAAAATGATTAAAAAAAATATTAATCACTTTTAAATTGATCATATCAAACGTGCGATGATTGTAATTAAATAGTCATTGACCCCAATAGGCAATACCTTATCTAAATTGTTTCTTTTAGAAAAAAATGTTAGTTGAAAAGTACCAAATACTTTAACAAGACTTGGTCTTTAGAGGTGTGAATTGATTAGACATTAGACCTGAAAAAGTGGTCATTTAAGAATAATTAATCATCTCGCATAGAGCAACTCCAATTGGAGATATCAAAATGGAACATTAAATATTCATTTGATGTTTGATATAAACTTTGATACTTTTTGAAAAAAAAATCATTTCAACCATAAGTATCAAATAGATTATCAAATTTAAATTATATGAATAATTATATTTTTAAATGCCACATGTCAAATAGTTATAGGTTAATTGGGTGGTTATATTTTTGATACCTCATTTTTCAGGGAGTATTTTTGCACTTCGGGGTAGTTGAGTATCAAAATAATTCTCACTTTAATGCCTCCATTGGAGGAGGATTTTTTAATTTTGGAGCATCAAAGTGGTAATTTTTTAATTTGATACTTCATTTAGTGCCTCAATTGGAGTTGCTCTTATATTATCGGGTTTTAGTAAGCGGCTGCGATAGATCTAATTATCAGAAAAGTCCACGTGTTCATTCAAGAACAATTATGCCTTGTAATCTAAAGTTCGAGTCAAAAATCCAAATGTATTCATTCATTAATTTTTCTCAGATTTCCCCTAAACCCTAGTTTCTGACTCTTCTTATGAAGGAGACGGTGGTGCAGGTGTGAGTCGTTTGTGTGGGGTTGGGGGACAAGAGGGGGTGTGCCTTTATTTCCTAGGGTAATTTGGTCTTTTCAATTAAATCGACATCGAAATCTGATTTAAGGGCCAATGAGCTATATAAATCGCAACATAGGAGGATAAATGCTATTTTCTTTAACATAGGGTCTTTTCTAGCAATTAGATATATTGCTTCTAATTTCGATGTCGATTTGACTTGTGAGTTATGACCCCACTCTAAGTTGATTTGGACAAATCCATTGGTGCAATCTATCAACTCCGGACAAATCAACATCGCAATAAATAAATAAAGGGTAAATTACAACCAGATGTATGGTCAATTTAGGAAAAAAATTATTTTATTTGAAAAATTACATCTACCCCTCAACAATGATTTTTCTTACATATACATTCTTATAGTATCAAATTCAACACAGTCATCTACATTTCATGAAATGTGCTCTAGTTTGTACTCGTTTTGTGTAAAAATAAAGTTTTTGATGCACCACAATCTGATATATACAAGCTTAAAAACACATATTATGATCATCTTGCTTTAAAATGTGAAGTTCGAATAGGATAAAACATGTACAAAGTGATAATAATCTATATAATCTCAAAAATTCCACGAAATTTAAAACCGCAAGGGTGGACGTGTAAAAAGATTTATAGTTGAGGAAGGTTGTTGTAATTATCCAAAAAAAAAGGGTTTTTTTTTATAATTTAACCATACCTCATGGGTGATTGCAATTTACCCAATAAATAAATAAACTATTGAATTACTTAATAAATAAAAAGATAGGATTGCAAAAAATGACACTCAGCCAAAATAAAGCTAACGATCAGTTTGCAAACACTTTTGCAAACACCACCAAAGGATGAACTTCGAACGAAAGTGTCAAATCAGGTCGGCAGAAATTGAAAATTCCGTTTCCACTTCACCCCTCTCGTGGGACATAAATAAATGAATACTACTAAATCTACATCCAGAAAAGTACAAAGTACTCAACAATCAATATTCTTATGCTCTAGATTCCTTTTTATCTATAGAATACCGATCTTGACATTCGATTAATATCAACAATAACAAGCTCTCATTAATGCAAGCATTTATACTAATCACCCGTAAATGTGTTGTTCGAATTGCAAGTACAGTTACCCTTATACTCGATGCATTTCGCTCGCAGTAAAAAAGGTGATCAACAAATCAATTTTGTGGTGCAGGTTCAGGCGGTCCTCTAGCTATCGGCATCGAATTACTCGAGCCCGATCTGGGCTTCGCATAGTCCACAAAAACAGTGCGCCCATTAAGTGGCTGCATTAAGCAGCAAAATTGTCTTAAAATTTTTAATTTGGAGGTGCCTAATTTGAAAAGGGAAAACGGAGAAAAAGGAAAAAAAAAACCCCGAAAAAGGCCGCACCTTTCCGTTCATTTCTGCAATTGCTTTCTCTGCTTCATCTTCAGATGCATATGTGACAAATCCAAAACCCTTTGATCTGTCCGATACTCTATCCATCACAATCGTAGCTGCCAAAAAAACGAATTACTCGTCAAATTTGACTCGCTAATTAGAAATACCGAACTAACGATGAATTGATCGATGGTGATTAATGTACCTTCAATAACTTGTCCGTGTTGAGAAAATGCCTCGGACAATCCCTGCTCCGTGGTGTAAAACGAAAGACCTGCAAACGGGATTCGTTTTCCGTGGAAATTAAAAATCAAAGTAATATATAACATAACTGTAAAACTCACATGGAAACACGATTTAAATGCATAACTTACTGTGTATTAATTCAGAGAGTTAAAAAGGATCCATCGATTATTCGATTACAAACATTTTTGTTCAATTTTATCACGGCTGCTCTGATATTGTGAGATCTTACGAGCTATGGGCAATGAATCGATACTTCGGCTAGATTGAAATACACTGTTATATAAAGAAGTTCAACATAACACAAACCCCTCATTGAGTGCCCAACACACAGTACTGAGATGGGATTAAACAAAAAAAAACAATATTTTTTTTTTAAAATGAAGCAATTCTCAAATTTACAGTCACGTGCGTGTATTAATATCATCATCAGAGCAAAGCAATGTAGATTTCATGACTACGTAACGATATACAAACCCCAATTTTTAAATGTCATAAACCCTTGATAAACCCCAGAAAGGGGGGGAATCAAATCAAACACATGAGGGCGAAATCAAAAGTGAGGTGCTGAGAAAATTAATTAATACTTGAATATTTGAACAAGAAGAAGAAATTAAAATCAGAAATCCGATTTTGTTTGTGCGAGTTCAGAATCAGAGGTAACCTACCTCCGACGAAGAGCTTCGAAGCTATGCCTCTGGAAGAAATAAGAAGTGCGGGGATCAAAACGGTGGAGTTGGATTTGGGGAGGCGGGAAGAAAACATAATCAGATTTCTGAAGGCCGCCATGGTTGTCTGTTATGTGTTGCTGTTGAAGCAGAGAGAAGTGATCGACCCTTTTGAAAATGGATTTGTGGTTTTAGGGTGGGTTAGTATAAAAATTAGAAATTTTAAATTTAGAACAAAATGCACTTTCGCCCCTAGAAATTTCCAAATTTTGCACTTTCACCCTTACAAATTAAAAAATGAAACTCTTCCCCTTCAAAATTTGTTGTAGTTGCATTTTGCCTCAAATTTCGAACTCCGGCGCATTTTTTAAAGGATTGCAAATTTCTCAGTTCATTTAAGGTGTATATGCGTCATTTTAGGGTATATATGCTTTTTTTTTTTTTCAATTTCATCCGATTTTAAATTTATCCATCTAATTCTAACGACCAAATTGCAATTTCAGATTTTCTTAAAACTCTAATCCCCTTCCTTCCTCGCACCACGGCACCACCACCTCCTCCACTACCACCGGTATTCATTATCTTAAAAAACCATCATCTTTAGGCAGAAGATCCACCAGCTAGTGCTTGCTCTTACCATTTTCAAGTTCCTCACAACACTAATTTCTCTTGATGGTGGATGCAGAGTTGTTTGATGGTGGGAGTTAGTGGGAATGTGTCACGGGAAAAAGATGGTTTATATTGAATTTTGTTTCTTTAAATTGAATGGACAAAATGCACTTCGCCCAAATGAACAGACGAAAATGCCCTTCAAGTGAATGGAGAAATAAAAATATCGTTGAAAAAGATGTCGGAAAGTGTCATTTGGTGCAAAGCAACTACCGGAAAATTTTGAAGGGGGAAAGTCTCATTTTTTTAATTTGTAAAGGGAAAAGTGCGAAAACTGAAAATTTCTAGAGGTCGAAGTGCATTTTGTCCAAAAATATATTACTAATTCAACTGTATAATATTTGCGAGTCGATTTGACAAGTTAGTTGTAGCATACCAAAAATCAAACAAAATTCTATTATTTAATTAATAATAGGGCAAATTGCATGTCCCCACTTATAAATTTTTATTTTTTTGCGTTTTACCCCTCCAAATTTAAAAAAAAAATGAATGTCCCTTCAAAAGGTTATTCTTATTGCACACTGCTCCAATATCAAAATTTCAATAAATTATTTATCGAAATAGAGTGTTTTTGTTGCACGTTGCCCCTTTATATATTATTTTTAGTGCACTCTGTCCTTAAAAAAAATATTTTTTTTGCACAATGCCCTTTAAAATATTATTTTTTGTGCACGATGCTCACAAAAAAATATTTTTGTGGCAAAGCGCAACAAAAATAATATTTCAAAAGGGAGTTATCGCTTTTTATCAAACATTTAAAATTTATAGAGTGAAGTCCATTTTATCATTTGGCTAATTTCTCCAAATATTATATTTCATTATCTTACGAAACTTGGCAATGTTCCAAATAATTGTTATATGTCAGTTATGTGAGCCCATCAACTCCAACAGTATTGAGTCATTAAAATAATAAGAAATCAAAAGCATATTTAATTTGATCTTGTTTGCTAGAGTTGTTTAATTCTTCAATAATAGACAACAAATTGCTGGTCATTTTTAATAATTTGATTTTAATGAATTTGATAGAATAATTTGACTTTAAAATTCCCAAATAAAATTTTAAATTCATTAATTTAATTATTATTATTATTATTATAATTTTAAAATCCTTAATTCATCCGTCCAAACAAAAATTCGATCGAGTACCCGAAAACACGAAAATCTAGTGGATAATTGCATTGCAAAAAAGAAGAGGTAAATATAGAAATGTGATTTACATTTAATTGGTTTTGAATATTTCCAGCTGAAATCCCTTCTCAGCCAAAAATCAAGAATTAGGGTTAAAAGTAAAAAAAAAAATAAAAAAAAAAACACAACACACACCAAATCAACAATTTTGTTTACAAGAAAAATGAGAAATTAAAAGAAAAATCAAATTCATACACATTTCAGATTTCACACCACCCTCCGATCCAATAATGAATAACGTCAACGCCGTCGGTCAACGTTTCCTCAGGGCGAGAGCGGAGAGCGCCACCATGAATATGAGCAGAGCCACCGCCACGAACGACGCCACCACCGCCCCGCTTACCCTCTGGCAGAAATCACCGAACTGCTGGCATATCGCCAGCCAATTCGCGTCCGCGTTCCCGTTGTGTGCCAGGTAAACTATCGCCGCCGACGAAGACGCCGCCGCCGTGGCCAAAGTCACCGTCAACTACAATAATAACAATAAATTTGATCAAAAAAAACCCCAACATTAAAATATAAATTAATCGTCAATCTTAATCGAGCTTACCGTGTCGCAGACGATCAACAGAAGCCTCGGCACGGCGGCGAGAGGCTGAGCTATACAAACTACGGAGAACGGCACCGAGAGAACAAGGTACCCGGTAACTATCGACAGAGCTATCACGAAGAACCTAAATTAAAATTAACACAGAGTACAAGTTAAACCTCAATAAATTAATACAGTCGTAACTAGTAAAATTCTATTAATATTGCAAAATATTAAATTATCCGAACTAATGATTTAGTTGGTTTGTAATGTGTCCAGACCAAACCAGCAGAAACTATTATTTAAGCGAGGTTATTAATTTATCGAAGTTCTATTGTAAATATAGAGAAGATGAGGACTGACGTGAAAGCAGGGAGATCATCGTAGCTGGCTTGGAACTGGAAGAACTGTGTGAAGAAGGGGAGAGTCTGCTCGGTGGTGCCCATGGTGATGGTGGCGGCTAAAGCTGACGTGGCGGCACTGACACGTAGGATGAGGTCGAAAATGGCGACCCCTCTTCTGTACGATCCAGCGGTTCGTGCAGTTTGCTCAACTTCCGCGAGAAGTGGGGTTTTCCCTTTACTTTCTCTGCTTGTTTCCCCAATTTCAATGGTCGTCGCTTCACTTTTCTCCATCGATATCTTGATTATAAATTAACAACGGGTTAATTAATTAAATTAGCTTTTGATTTTGTGCTTATATTAATTTAGTTATAGATGTTGATTGATTTCTTGATTGTGATATGTAATTGGGAGGAAAGGGAATAGTCTTATATAGAGGGTGGAAAAACAGAAATATAATATACATGCATGCACTTTGCTTACGAGAGTTGGTTTTAATTTATTTTTGTGTTACAATTAATATTTAATAAACTTGGATGGCAAGAAAGTGCAGTTAATGGAGCAAGCTAAGAAGAGTTGTTGTATATGCTAACTTTTTTGTTGCAAGTTGGAATAGTATATAAAAGAGAGGAAAAACAAATTGCCAGGAGTCTTAGAGCTCGTTTGGTTAAGCTTATATTAAACATTATTTGATAAGTTCATACGATTGATAAGATGTTCTGTCTTATTTTTAGAATTAATTTTTAAAAGTGTTTAGATAATTTACTTATTATAAGATCTTAAATAAAAAGTGATATATATGTATTTTTTTTAAAAAAATTAAATGCTCTCTAACAACTATTTTATTAAATTTTAAAATCTTTTTTTTTTTTTTTTATCAAACGCCCTGGAAAGAGCTTTTAAGCTCTTCAACAACTTTAAAATTTTAACAGCTTACAAGCTTCGCCAAACAACCTCTTAATCTATGAGGAAATTGATTTAGCTCAATAAGTCAAAGAGGATTATTGTATGATTAGTCAACTAACACAAACACCTTCCCTAATCCACTAAAGTCGTTATTTTACATTATATAGTACAATTATTTTATGGGCATGGGTACGAATAACACGCTTTACTCATTTTAACATTAAACCCTCTTTTAGTTGGCAAACCAGATCCACGCTTTTGCCTCTTCCAATAAACTTGTTTGTTTAAAGAAAATACAAGACAACATGTAAATGTTCTCCTTTTCTAATTGACTAATAAATTGAAATTCCAGAAAAAAAAAATCAATTTGTCACATAAGTTATGCATAAGGAGATCACTGTTTGAAATTCCAAAATTTATGATGGAATAAACTTTTTTTTTTTAAGTAAATTCAAGTCCATTACAAAGGAAAGTAGAGGAGGGAGGGACTCGAACCCTAGACATTTACCCTATTGGTAAAGGTTAGGGTAAAGGCTAGGTACCAAGTCTCTTAATGATGATTGGTTCTGATGGAAGATCTTACTAGGTGAAAAAAATCAAGAAATAGATTAACTTACTAATAGTAAAAATGGAAATTACGAATATAACCTCAATATCCATTTTCATATTATTTCTTTGAATGATATGAAATTACTATCGCAAGACCAAAAGAAAAAAGGGGGAAATTTTGAAAAGAGAGAAGAAATGGGGGAGAAGAAAGACGAGCAAAACTCCAACGCCGCTGCTCACATGCCTCCGACACAAAAGTTGTGGACCGGATGAAAATGCAGTCTCTATAGCCTTCATCAAATTCAATTCTTGATTTGTGACAATATACTTAGGCACCGGACACCTTCGCCAAGCTCTTCAAGGCTTATACATAATTTTACGTTTTTTCATCCGAAGTGTGCAAAGTCAACGGAGAATGTCTTGTTCGTAAAAGTAATACCCACAATCTCGAGGATTAGGAGTCCGTAAATATTGATTTTGTACGTGTAATCCATAACCAATACATACATATAACTACATGCAAATTTAATCCATGTAGGGTGGGTCCACAACTGGTTCATTACCTCGCCGGTCCCCTCCAACGATCTACGATACTAGAAGTAGTTATTTTCGAACAACTTCAACATCAACGATTACATTAGAGTTTTACCGTTATTATCTTTGAATTGAATCTTATGACGGACAGTTTTTTGTAAAAACGAGTAAAACTACCACCGAGATAAAAATCTACATTTTTTCAAACCTCATTGTGTTCTTCGACCCTAAAATCCTCCATATTGATATCTTGTGACTCAATAATTTCCTCATTTACAAGTTTTGGTATATTTTGAGGTTTTTGGATTTCGACGATTTTTTAAGCAGATATTTTTTGAGGAATTTATGTGTAATGGGGTTCTGAAGGCGAGATAGATTTCAATAGAGTGGTCTCGCACAACGGAATTTGATATGAAAGCTGATGTGGGTTTTTTCTTTGGCAGCGACTATATACAATCCAAAATTTACTTAGGGCAAGACCAATTAAAATTTTATACCAAATTAAGTGTAAAAAGACTATAGTGACCTTAGTAAAATATAAACAAAATAAAACATAATTACACCAATTACTCTTGCAAGACCAAATTGAAAAAAAAAAGTAAAAAAAAAAGAAAAGAAAAAAGAAACCCAACACAATTGAAGAATGGGAAGGAGGGAAGAACAGAACTATTTGCAGATTCGCCGTCGCCGATGAAGTCGACCACCACCGCCGTCGCCGTTGCAGTCGACATTCGCCACAAGTCCATTTAGAACATAGGGTATGATTTTAGGGTTAGATTCCACCACCATTGTTGAAGGAATTGTGGTTTTAAAAATATCGACCTGTACTTGTCGATTTTTTTGTAAAATTTCGACACATTGGTGTCAAAATTTTCACTAAATTTCGACAATAAGTTGTTGTCAATTATTTGCATTTTTTTCGACATTTGTGTGTTGATATTTTGTTCAAAATTCGACATCAGTGTGTCGATTTTTAGCAATTAAAACGACATGTTGGCGTCGATTTTTCAGAAACTGAGAAAATCGACGTTGTAATGTCGTTTTTATTGCTAAATATCGACCTGTAAACGTCGAATTTTTGTGTACGCGAAATTATTTTCGAAAAACGAAAAAACGATCACAAAGCTAAATAAAGTACAACATTTCTTATCTCATTGTGTTCATCGACCTTAGAATCATCCATATTAATGTTTTCGTGTGTCCATAATGTCGTTCTTTAAGATTTGAGGGTTTTGTTTGATGAGGGTTTTTGGAGAATATAAAAGAGTTTTTTTTGTGAAGAAGAGGGGTGTTGGGTGCTAAATACCAACACGCAAGTGCACGTATCGCAAACAAGTGATAAAGTGGACTCGTGAGAGTCGGATGTCGATCCCACAGGGAATACGCAAATTACCTAATCCTAAGTACCAAATTCTAACAATTATGATTTTTATCCAGCCTACGCAAGTTTGTCAAATTAAATTAATTAAACAACTAAACTAATTAAGAAAGCAAATAACACGGGAAAATATCAATTAAAACGGACCTAGGATTTTATCTTCCCCCTATGCAAGAATTGCTCACCCAAAATCCCTCAATTATGAAATATATGATTCATGATTATTAACCCGAGACACTAATTTACTCATAACCCGCTGTCGCGTGTATTATGAGTCTATTATTCATAAGCGATTCACTATATGTCTATGCAAACCAATTATGAGTAAAGCATTAACTAACAAGTCTCGTAAATGGCTACCTAAGGTGATATCTGTATGTCTACGACACCACATGCAATTGACACACTCATTCGGTGAAAACTACTCGAAGGCTCTTCTACTTACCGTCTAATTATTAAAATAGCTCTGTCGAGTCAATCCTAATAATCACAGATAAAGCACATAAATTGATCAAGTTCATGCACTAACAATCATAACAAGTAGAAGATATAATCATAAAATCATAATTGCATAATCTCAAGAAAAAGGGTTCACAATCCCTACATAGGGTTCCAACAAATCCTAGATTAAACTTAGCTACGATGTTCGTACAAAAGACCAGCTATATATTATATATATATAAAGATGCACGTATATATATATCTATATATTTTTTTCTTTTTTTTTTTTTTTTTTTCTTTTTTTTTTTTTTTTCTTTTTTTTTTTTTTTTTTCGAAGAAGAAGAAAGATCTAATAAAACATTTCGACCGAACTCCAAGGGATAATTATTCAAAAATCTCCACTTTTCCACCTTCTACAAATTGGCTAAAAGAAAGAACACCTTTTTTCTCCGAGGCTCAAATCAAGGTTCGAAGGATAAAAATTTAAAGGTAGGCTTGAAAGGCTCAAACGGTTCAAAGAAGGCCCAAATCATATCCCAAATCACTTATTATCAACACTTCGTATCATAAATGTCCTAAGGTGAGATTTAAAACCGAACAAAGCATGATTGAGCACAAATAAATTCCAAATTTAAAATGCAAAACATTCAACCAAAGCAATGCACAAAGTGTGATTCCTAGCAATAATTCACTTCTACGTTCCGTTGAATCGAAAGCTAAACAAATATCTACTCCTTATCAACATAAAACAAGTAATCTCATCATCAAACATTGACCATCTCCCATCATAATAATTCATCGATGCGTCGAACCAAATTCTTTTTTTTTTTTTTTTTCAAAGCAAATAAAAAAAAACGGGAATAATAAAACGAAAACTAAAGCAAAAACTAAAGCATGCAAACTAAAAAAAAATTAAAACACAAAAAAAAAACACAAATAAATCGCACATAACGAAAACAAGTAGTTAACCACCCCCAAACTTAAAATTCACATTGCCCTCAATGTGATTCGCCCGGAGTTTAAGGATAGAAAACACCTGTTTAAACGTCGGGACCACCGTTCGGGTTGCTCACCATCTCCACCATGTGCATGAGCATCATCCTCCTCGTCATCCTCCAATAGCTCGGGTACCGGCTCAAGAATCGGTGCGGGAAAATCGTCGAACACCTTGTGGGCGTTCTTGGTGGAATGGGTTTTTTTCGAGAAAATTGCACCGTTCTTGAATCTCCCTGCGCAAATCAACAACAAACCACCTTGATTACGTAGTATATGTGTGTAGTAGGTAAATTTTCGGTGAAATTTGTCAAAGAAAAGGGAAAATTTCGAAAAAGGAAGGCGAGGGTTCGAATTGGGGGAGAGAGGGAATTTGGGAATTATGGAAATTGCTTTTTTTTTTTTTTTTTTTTTTTTTTTTTTTTCGCACGGCCGTGCGAAAGTATGGCCTAAAATCCGCACGGCCGTGCCATTTGGTGAATTTGGGCAGTAGCCCTTCTTAATTTAGGACGGCCGTGCGAAATTATGGCCTAAAATCCGCACGGCCGTGCCATTTGGTGAATTTGTGCAGTAGCTTCCCCGAAATCTCACACGGCCGTGTGAGATTTCTGCCTCTTTCTTGCACGGCCGTGTGAATAATTGCAATTGGGTCCCTGAAAAATAAAAACTTCTAATTAGTGCCCAGAAACTTTTTTTTTTTTTTTTTTTTTTTTTTAAATAAAATAAAATGAAAGCAAAACTAAAAATTTAAAATAACATAAAATAAGAAAAACGAAAGCTCGGGTTGCCTCCCGAGAAGCGCTAAGTTTACAGTCTTCAGCCAGACTTTGTTCTTGCTCTTCAATTCCTTAGCTTTTGAACCCATCTCCTTACTTCCTTTTGGAGAAAGTCTTGAATAAATGGGTTGATCCGATTCTTCTTTCGACTGGTTCGTTTAGGAATGCCCTTGAATTTATTCTTCTTGATGTCATGAGGCTTGCCAACATCGTCTTTTATCACGGTGTTTTGAGTAGGTGTTGTAACCAACTCAACCATTTTCTTTTGTTCTCCTACATGCACATTAGTATCCACAAAAAAATTGAAATCATGTAATTTAACAGGAAAAAGTTTAGAATCACTTACCTCATCAAGAAGATAACATCCATTAGCCGTAATAGGCTTTTCATCCACCCGGTACACCTTGAAGATCACTGTTTCTTCCCCCACACTCATTCTTAGCTCTCTCTTTCCTACATCAATAATTGACCTACCGGTTGCTAAGAATGGGCGTCCTAAAATAAGGGGAATATTTTCATCTTCCTCTATGTCTAGTACTAGAAAATCGGCAGGGAGTATGAACTTATCTACCTTGACCAACACATCCTCCACTATACCTAAAGGGTGAGTAAAAGATCTATCGGCTAGCTGCAAGGTCACGGAAGTAGGCTTAATTTCTCCTAAATTCAATTTCTCATAAATTGATAAAGGCATTAAATTTACACTCGCCCCTTGATCACACAACGCCCGCCCAAAATACCTAGTACCTATTGTGCATGGAATGGTACAACTACCCGGATCTCTAAGCTTCGGTGGAATTTTATTTCCAAGGATAGCACTACTTTGCTCATTGAGGTCTATGATTGCTGCACACTCCGGAAGCCTCATCTTCTTCGATACAAGTTCCTTTATAAACTTAACCCAATTCGGCATATGCTTAAGCGCCTCAACAAAAGGAATATTAACATGCATTTTTTTAAGATAATCCAAAAATGACTGAAATTGCATATCAAGCTTGGAGTTTTGAAAACGTTGAGGGAAGGGTACCTTGGGAGTAGATTCACTTACTGCGATCTTTGTGTTGCTTGGCCCGACCTCGGTCTTTTCTTTGGGCTCCTCTACAATAGGCGGTGGTGCAACGGACTTTTTAGGACCTTCCTCTAATTGCCTCCCATTTCGCAAAGTTACTGCATTGCACTGCTCGATGTTGCTCTTTCGAGGATCTTCCGTATTCGACGGCAGTGCTCCCGACGGCCTCGCGTTTAGCTGGGTTGCAAGTTGACCCATTTGTGTCTCAAGGTTCCGAATGGATGCTTGGGTTGTCGTCATGAATTTCGCTAAGATATCAGCGAGGTCTACTTCTTGGGCCGGAGCTTGAGGTGGATTTTGGAATCCGGGAGCTGGCCTTTGTCCTTGTTGATTTCCTCCCCATCCAAAGTTGGGGTGATCTTTCCATCCCGGATTATAAGCGTTGGAGTACGGGTTCCTCTGTTGTCGATTAGTGTCATGTACATAATTTAGAGACTCCGTTTCTTCTACGCACTGGTTGGGAATTTGGACTGCATGGACTTGCTGAGTTTGCAATGCTGCTACTTGCTTTGATAGCTTCTCTAATTGGGCAGTGATTGCGGTGACCCCGTCTAACTCTAAAATTCCTCCCGTCTTATTGGCTCCGCTATTTGACCGGTCCGATGCCCGCATGTATTTGTTCCTTGCGATCCGCTCCAAAAGTTCGTAAGCTTCATCATATGTCAAGCTCATGTACATACCGCCAGCTGCTGAATCGAGCACCGTTCTCGAATTATCTTGCAATCCATCATAAAATATTTGAAGTTGCCGCCACTCTTGAAGACCGTGATTCGGGCATCTCCGAATTAATTGTTTGAATCGCTCCCACGTCTCGAACAACGCTTCACCGGCTTCTTGTAAGAAGTTTTGTATTTCTCTCCGGATTCTCTCAGTTTTGGTTGGGGAGTTGTACGTATTCATGAAGAGCTGTGCTAGCTGGGGCCAAGACGAGATGGAATGCGGTGCACGAGTTTGTAGCCATTCTCTTGCGGCTCCTTGGAGAGAGTGCTTGAAGAGGCGGAGCTGCAGTGCTTCCGGCGATACTCCGTTCATCTTGTGCGAATCACACGTTTCGAGAAAGTTGACCAAGTGGAGATGCGGATCTTCATGAGCTAATCCGCTGAACAACCCATTGTTTTGGAGCATAGTAAGGAGTCCCGCTCGAATTTCGAAATTGTTGGCTTCAATGGGGGGCTGCTGGATGCTCGATTGAAACCCATTGAGTGTTGGAACGGTGTACTCATGCAATGCTCGTTGACGAGGTGGTGGATTAATTAGCTGAAGTTGCTCTTGCTCGTTGACGATATTTCCTGCCGCATTCGGTAGGTGCCCTTGGTCATCTCCCCTACGATTATTCTTTTCTTCCATTCGCATAAAAAGTACCTAAACAAAAAAAAATAAATTAATTAAATAAAATAAAAAAATTGGCTGAAGTAAGAAAAATTGCTCAAATTTAATATTAGGATAAATAAATAATTTAGTCGTATTCCCCGGCAACGGCGCCAAAAACTTGTTGGGTGCTAAATACCAACACGCAAGTGCACGTATCGCAAACAAGTGATAAAGTGGACTCGTGAGAGTCGGATGTCGATCCCACAGGGAATACGCAAATTACCTAATCCTAAGTACCAAATTCTAACAATTATGATTTTTATCCAGCCTACGCAAGTTTGTCAAATTAAATTAATTAAACAACTAAACTAATTAAGAAAGCAAATAACACGGGAAAATATCAATTAAAACGGACCTAGGATTTTATCTTCCCCCTATGCAAGAATTGCTCACCCAAAATCCCTCAATTATGAAATATATGATTCATGATTATTAACCCGAGACACTAATTTACTCATAACCCGCTGTCGCGTGTATTATGAGTCTATTATTCATAAGCGATTCACTATATGTCTATGCAAACCAATTATGAGTAAAGCATTAACTAACAAGTCTCGTAAATGGCTACCTAAGGTGATATCTGTATGTCTACGACACCACATGCAATTGACACACTCATTCGGTGAAAACTACTCGAAGGCTCTTCTACTTACCGTCTAATTATTAAAATAGCTCTGTCGAGTCAATCCTAATAATCACAGATAAAGCACATAAATTGATCAAGTTCATGCACTAACAATCATAACAAGTAGAAGAAATAATCATAAAATCATAATTGCATAATCTCAAGAAAAAGGGTTCACAATCCCTACATAGGGTTCCAACAAAATCCTAGATTAAAAACTTAGCTACGCATGTTCGTTACGAAAAACATAATAAAAATACGAAAAATCATAAAACTATAAATAACAATAAAAGAGGAGAACTATGATGAAGATTCGTCAAGTCTTCGTCTTCGTTCTTGTGCTCCTTGATTGCGTGTAGAAAGATGAAAGATAAAAACTAAAAATAAAGATAAAAGGTAGAAAGATCCAAGATAATCCTAATTGTGTGCTTGTGGCCTTTAAATAGGGTGCAAAAATATAATAGGGCGGGTTTCCTTGTGTAATTAAAATTCCTTCACTGCGCCATCACGACCATCCGGACGGCCGTGTGAGATTTATGCCTAAAATCCGCACGGCCGCGCGGTCCTTGATACTCCAGAATTCTGCTTTTTCACTTTTGGCCCACTTTTTCTCCGAATTTGCAGTTTTCACCCCAAAAGTTGTCAATTCTTCAATTTGCACCTAAAATACAAATAATAACCAAATTAAGCACCAATTATCGTAAAAACACATCAAAAGCTCCAATTAAAAGGTACAATTAAGTGTATAAATATACACTTAACAAGGGGGTTGGGTTTTGTTGGTGAAGAAGAATGGTCAATTTTTATTTTTATTTTTTTGGTCTTGCAATAGCAATTAGGCATTTTTTGAATTAATAATATCAAAATTAATATTGGGGTCATATTTGTAATTTCCAGTCTTGCTCTTAGTAAATTTATTTATATTTTGGTCTTGCATGAAGTAAGGTCTTGCGCTTAGAAATTTTGAGATTGCAAATAGGTGCAGCCTTTTTATTTTAATACAGGTGCAATAGTTCTTTTTATAAGTTAAATTAGATTTGGTCTTCCCAAACAATTTGTGGAATTCCTTATGCATAATGGTTCAAACTATAAGGGTTTAGATATAATTACATCTAAATTCAGGGTGGTAGGCGCAATTTCAGAATTAACAAACCATTGGACTGCGTATATCATTACCCAATATCCAACCATTGGACTAACCCGTACCCGACCCATCTCCCCTCCGGAATAAGAAATCAAAACCCCCTTCACACACACACACACACACACACTCACTCATACTTGACGAATTAATGGCGCTTAGAGAGAGGAGAGAGACTTTGGCGGACGCCGGCGGAGGTCCGCCGGAAGTAACCTTGGAGACTTCCATGGGCCCCTTCACCATCGAGATGTATTACCACCACGCGCCGAGAACCTGCGACAATTTCGTTAAGCTCGCTCGCAAGGGCTACTACAACAACGTTAAATTCCACAGAATCATCAAGGTTTCCCCCCATTTCACTCTCCGCACACGCAAAAAGACTTCCTCTACTTCTTCGCAATTTGATTTTGTTTGGAAATTTTTTTTTTAAATTCTGTATTTTTGGACTGTTTTTGGAAATTGCTTTACAGGATTTCATAGTGCAAGGCGGCGACCCTACCGGAACTGGCAGGGGCGGCGAATCCATCTACGGGTATCTCTTTTTTTCACTCTCTTAGTTGCTTGTGTAATTTTTCTCTCAGCTGATAGTACTAATTCTTATCACAATTAGGGTTTGGACTAATCAGATATTTAATTACATTTCAAGATTTAAATTTTGTTTAGTGTTTATTTTTTATTTTTTATTTTATTGAAGGCATGTGTAGTTAGATATCTCAATTTTTTCGGACTTAAGGACATTGTATGTGCTCAAAAACATTTCGTTGAATATGTTCCGTAGCATGCTTAGGCCCAGTTTGGTTGCCAAGATAAGCCGAGATTAACTAAATAGTTGGACTTAATTTGATGTTTGGTATCATCAATAAATTGCCGGGTCGACCCGCCAAAATTATATAATCATGGCTTATCTTGCCTTCTAGTGTGTTTTTTTTTGTTGGATGTTACGAGCTCCAATAAAATAATTGGGTTTCATTAGATTATTTAATCTTATCTTGACTAATCTTATCTTGCCAACCAAACGGGGCCTTAGTGTTTGGGGAATTCAGTGGTGCGATTACATTGTCTGAAGAATTCGGCTTACAAATTGATTTCCGTAATCTCTTTTTTTTTGTTAATGCAGTAAGCACTTCGAAGATGAGATAGATAGGGAGTTGAAGCATACAGGAGCTGGTATCATATCAATGGCGAATGCTGGTCCGAATACAAACGGAAGCCAGTTCTTTATAACTTTGGCACCTGCGCCCTCTCTGGATGGTAATTACGTAATTATGTCTTTTGCTAAGAAGACTTTTGCACTAATGTATCAATACAGACTTTCCATTATTTCATCTTGACATTGATGAATTTAACAAGTGACGTATAATATGCCGGTGCGTCTGATTTAGGCCATTCTTCCTGATATTGTAGATTTACGATATCAATGTTTGATTTTGTTTGTCGCAATTTAACTTTTGACATGCCATTATTTCATAAAAAGCGATCACAAATGCTTTGATGTAGTCTCTGATGCATTTATTCCACCCTGATGTCGATGAATTTAACCATTGGTATATAATATGGCGGTGCGTCTGTAACAACTTTTGAGGTGTCATTTTTTTTCATATAAAGTTAAAGTGGTCACGAATGTGTAGATCTATTTCGTTTACAGGGAAACACACAATATTTGGAAGAGTATGTAAAGGAATGGAAATTGTCAAGAGACTAGGCAGTGTTCAAACCGATAACACCGATCGGTAAGCCTTTTTAATCATCTTTCTTAGCTATTTACACACAAAAGACAATTCGATATTTATCAGCTACATTATGCTCTCCTCGCTTGGTTAATGCAGCCCTGTACATGATGTGAAGATACTCAGGGCAGCCATTAAAGAGTAGCTTGTTTAACATCAAAAGTGAATCGATTAGATGCTGACCCTTCAGACCACTTTGTCATGTTACGGGAGTTTAATTTCGGATGAAGCTTATAAAAAAGTTGCATGAAAAATTACTTTTCAAACATCTCGATTTCTGGTTTTGGCCAATGTGATACTTGTTACTATCATCACATTCGAGATACTTTCTGTATTTGAAACGCTGCTAAAAAAACACCAGGTTTAAATGTTTAATTCTACTATATGCAGCTGCTACTAGCTTACTGTCACTGATAAATTTTGTCTCGTGGAATTTTTTTATTACAGATTGAATTTTCAATTTGATATATCTATTCGAGTTTTTTGATAATATATTGATTTTATACAGTGTTTCTCAACCTTTTTTTTTTTTTTTTGTCAAAATCGGGTCAGTGCCTATTCATTTTCTTTTTTCTTCCACTTTTTCAAATAAAGATGGAATTTTATGTTAGGTTTTTTAACACAAAAATAATTTTATAATATTACCATTAGTTGAAACCAATCATATCGATAATCAATTATCACCAGTAAAATTGAATTGGTCACCAGTTCGATTATAAAACATACGATCATCACATTCGTAACATCAACTAGCCCTTAACAAAATCAACTTCCACAATGCTACCAATCATCCTTAATATTTGCAAAAATCCCCACTCGTAACCAAGGGGTAGAAGAATCGAGAGTGTTCCTAATACAAGGCACTACCATTTCGTGTTCCTGCTGCTAGATTTTTATATCTTGACAAAATACATATTTTTCGAGCACTTACCCTAAACTACTACCATTTCATATATAACAGCCCCAGTCAATACTATGGGTACAAGGGGCTACCCAGTCATGTGTTACACAAAAGGATTTCTGAACCTTAGTTTTCATCGAATAAAACTTTTTAACTCAATTTGCCCGAATTTCTACTCTGATTCAACAGCGACCCATTTTCTTCTGCATTTGAAGTTTTCGCCGATGAACATTGCCCAAGGTAAAATCCGTTGGCCTTGATTGGTGCAGCAAAGGTACTAACAACCTTTTTGGGTTCGGTTATTCTTACAGCTATCTCTTCCGGAACAACCTGCTGCTGCTGAGGTGGCACTTGTGCCAATTCCATTTGCTTCAAAGATGGCACGTCATCCTTACAATACCGCCTCCACATTTTCCTGTATGCTGACTCGAGGCCTCGGATGAATTTAGATCCGTCACAAAGGGGTGACTTTGACATGAGATTACGTAGTCTCATTCTCAAGTTCGACAAGGCAGTTACATCAGAGGCTAACTTCACAGCCAAATCGACATATTCATCTTCGTTCGTGGCGACCAGATTGTTCAGTCCTGTTGTGCAAAATGTATTGTTCATGAGAAAGTCGTAACTGTTTTTTAATAAAAATGAACAGTTGCAAGGATTTAATAAGTCTGCATGGGAAAAAGAAAAGAATACGTACCAACTGTTTTTAGAAGACTCACGCCAACATTATGCGCATGCACTGAACCTCCCATAGTGACACACGGGACTCCCATGTATAGAGACTCGCACGTAGTAGTCGTGCCCGCGTACGGAAAAGTGTCCAAGCTATGAATAGAAAAATCTTTCATTAGAATCAAGAAGCATATATATTACATGTTTAGTAATATGTTCTTAGGTAAGTCTATAAAGACTTTTTGGTGAATGTTATGCAACAACACCGTCACCCAAAATAAAGAAGGGTAAATTACAACCACCCCTGAAGTGTGGTCAAATTACAAAAAAACCCCTGAGGTATGGTCAAATTACAAAAAAAACCCTCCTGTTTGGATAATTACAACCACCCCTCAACTATAAATCTTCTTACACGTCCACCCTTTGGGTTTCAAATTTAGTGGAATCTTCTAGATTATATGAAATATTCACAATTTTGTACCCATTTTATCCCATTCGAGCTCTACATTTTACATTTTGAAGCAAGATGATCATAAGATGTATTTTTTAGCTTGTATATATCACATTGTGGTGCGTCATAAACTGTATTTTTGCACAAAACGAGTACAAACTGGAGAACATTCCATGGAATTGATGATTATGTTGAATTTGACACCACAAGGGTGGAGGTGTAAGAAGATTCACAATTGAGGGGTAGATGTAATTATCCAAACATGATGGTTTTTTTTCGTAATTTGACCACATACCTCAGGGGGTGGTTGTAATTTACCCAATAAAGAATAATTACGATTTCTACAAAGATTTACCTACTATCAACCGACAGGGGATAAACCTATAAAAGAAAGAACAGTCACCTGATGTCCATTAACGAATATGCTTGCATATGATCATGGTTGAGAAGAATCAGCGGCAGAAGATCAACACGCAGCGACTCCAATCCCAACTTCTCTAGTGTAGTAAGAAATTGCTGTCTCACGCTATCACAGCAAAAAGGTTTACACTTCACAATTAGCCGGGAATTTGGAACAGCAGACAGAATCCTCGCCCAAACTTGCAGCACTTTCGGTGTTATCTGATGTATTTTAAATATTAAACACGTGAGAATAACATAACCTCAATAATGCCCAGTGTAAGATGCTTATGTGACTGTTGCCGTTACCTTTGCAAGGTTATTGAAGCTACCAAAAGTGACGAATCCATTAGATAGAGCGGGAGTCGGAGCCACTGGTCCTGCTTCGGGAGAAGGAGTGTAGCACAGAAACGAGTTAGGTAACCGGACCAACTCTTCAACATGCCTGCCATTAACAGAAATATTGAATACAAGTTTTACTCGAGCTAACTATTGGATTGAAACTTCATTGTGACAACAGAAGACAAGTTTGAAAAAAAAACAGAATCGAGACTCACTTTTGCATTGTATCAACTGGGTCAGCCAGTGCATCAGATATCCTATAATCGATGGTAGGCAAACCAGTTGTATTAGGGTAGCCGATCCACGTCACCTACAAAGCCAAGACAGTCGATACATATAAGATGGCACTAGCATAAGTAAAATGACTCTCTCGTCACAGTTCAAAAAAGCTCTGCACAATTAATCTGAAGAGATTATTAGACTATGCAGTAAACGTGAAATAATTATTAGACTCGAAAATACCTGAACAGGTGCAGGGCGGCAAGCCATCATTCCCAACTTGTTGTTTGCAGTATGACCAGTAAGCTCCACCAATATATCAATTTTATCTTCCCTAACCATACTCGCAACTTTCTTCTCATCAATTCCGTAAATATCCCTCCATGCTCCGCCATGCTTCAGGACCCTGTCTCTAAATCTGCTCGTTTTTGCATCCGCCTGCCACATCAGAAAAGGGAGGTTATTAAGATAAAAATGTGGCTGGAGGTTCTCGACTTGCTTCTAGAGACAAATCATTTAACCAAGAATAACTGATTCCTGGCAAAATAGAGAGGCTGAGGGATGGGTTACAACGTAATTTTACCTTCACGACTGCTGAATAAACAACGACCTTATAGTTTGCATAGTCATGATAGATGAGTGGTGCTTCGATGAAATATGACACTGAATGAGTAAAATAATCTGGAGAGACGTATCCAATAACAAGTGGCCTTTCTGGATCCTTAATGTTCTCCCAGGAAGTATACTGCGGAAATAACCTCATAAAACGCCTACCCCAGTCCCTGCAATTATACATTTTCAAAATAGCAGACTGAGTTTTCAGTAAATTCACTTTAAGTAGAAAACATTTGTCACAATTCATAACATATATCGGTACATAAATAGATAACTTGTGCACACAGACAAAAAATAAAGACCCAAAGATCCAGATATAAAAAGTTCTTGACGAACCATCTTATTCTTATAGCCATAGTGTGTGGTTAGAGTTACTTCATGCAGTTTTCACATCACATAAATTATGTCTACTTGCTAAACTAAATTCATCAAAACATCAGAACTCACAAGTAATTGCTCTCTACATACTTGCACCACTTTCCAATATCAAAATCCGCAAGTTTAAGAAAAAGAAGAAAAAAAGTATTTTGTTTTCTTCCTATTCAGAAAATTACCAAGACAAGCATATCTATAAGGATAAACACAAAGTGTAATTTAAAATATACTCATAACATGCTTGCCAACACAAAGTGAGATACTAATTATCCAGAAGATACACATGCATACATATGTTGATGCAAGTAACTAAACAATATTAATGCATTTAATATATTTATATAATGAAACAGTTCAATAAGCTTATTTAAAGAAGGCAATTTACACAAATAAGGTTAAAAACTTGACCTGTGAACCTCATATAATTTGTCATCACTGCCGTCATTTATGTAGTTCATTGCAAGCAACCGATTCTGCAACAAGTGCTTGAGTTAGATAAGAAACACGTTTCATAGTTCCTAAGCCTAATCAATCACAAAAATGTTAAGAATGGAGCTTCAAATATTTGTAATCATCCAAGAAATTAGTACTCAGAAGATGGTCCCAACAAAAGGAAAGGACGTACCCCACGATAAAATGGGAAAGATCTAAGACGGTACAACCACGATAAGAATTTTGAAAGAACAGACAAACATATATTGAGAACCCATACTCAAGCATTAATCTTTAAAACTGAAACAGCAGAACTGCAGAAACTCATGTCCACCAAACCAGGATAAAGCAAATCTTCTTTCTTTACATAGTAACTAGCTTTTATTTTTTCTACAGAACTTTTAAGAAAAATAAACATCTAACAGCTAGAAAATTCATGTTCTGTATAACTTGAACCTTAAATGACCTGAGCTCAAATTTTACATGCTGAAGGAAGCAATACCTGTCCTGCATTGCGAGAATCCGGATCAATTTTGAGGCACTGCTCATATGCTTCAACTGCTAGAGATATGCTCCCAGCATCTCTGTACAGAACTCCTACAGACATCAGAAAGAGGTACTAATTTATCACTTAATTCATTGACAATGATATGTTTGCTATAAAAAATATTTCCAACAGATAAGTAGAAAGTTTTCATACTTAAAAGTCCACTGAAGACTAAAACAGATGTATCTAAATGTGAAAGGTGTCGCCTACTCGCCTTCCACACCCTCCCTCCTCCCCCACTCACCCCCACCCCCGAATACATATGCACCCCAGCCTACAGAACAAGGTTAACTATATCTATCTGAATTTTATTTTTTTGTCGTTCATGGATTCTCAATTATAAAGTATTAAGTATTGGTATCATTCATTCGCCAAAATAAGCTGCAGAAACACAGATAAGAAACTGATCAATGAAATCAAGGCATTTATTTTTATTTGAGAGTAGGGGGATGGAAGGCAAAGAGAGGGACCTAAATTATTATATGCTTCCGCATAGGTCGGATTTGCAACAATAGCTTTCTCAATCATGCTTGCAGCAGCATCCATTTTACCCTGTGCAAAGAAGAATAATATTTTAGTGTGTCATCCGAGCACCAATAAATTCTACAGTGAACAGGATAGATTATAGATACAAAACCTGGACGGTATAAACAACTCCAAGATTGTTCAATGACTGGGAAAAGTTGGGTTTGATTGACAAAGCCAACTGCAAATGTATAAGTATAGTATAAGCAAAACGATGGAAAAGCATATTATGTGTTTCATCAATAATTTTCCAGTTTAAATCTTGCCTGGTAACACTCTACTGCTTTGTCAAGGTTATCTCGATCCTTATATATCACCCCTAAATTGTTACATGCCTCTGCACAATGGGGATTGAAGTGGAAAGCAAGTTCATAAAATACAATTGCCTGCAGAAGTAGGATGCCACTTAGAAAGATGATTATAAGTTACGAAAAGTGACAGATGAAACAAGAAGCATCGACCAAGTAGGATACTGCTTAACAGATGGTTAAAATGTGCACAATATAAGAGACAAGAAACAATGACCGATATGAAATTCTCCTACTGATGAGCAGTATCCAATAAAAACACCAACTTTGACCATTATTTTTTCATTTTCAATTACCATGTCAAACATCAGCATTTCTCCATAAGCAACGCCAAGATTGTACATGGCATCAGCATAGTGCCAATTATAATAGAGAGCTTTCTTATAATATGCAACACCCTGGTTGATGTCACCCTCCAATTTGACCTGGATCAAGAGAAATGACAATATGGCCCTTTCAGAACTTTGTACAATATCAGGAATAAATTCATAATGAGTTAGAATGTAGAATATATACAACCCTCACACTTTTCCTCCAAAGCTCTAGAGGACGTAATTTAACTAAGAAGAGACAGAAGCCACACCTTTGTGCCTAAATCAGTTAAAGCAATAGCCATGTTATTTTTTGCAATCTCGAAGTTTGGAGAAACAGTTAGACACCTGCACATAAGAGTACGAGAACCATACATGGGATCAGATGGATGGAAATCTACCAAACCAGTAACCGAAAGCACATATTTTACATGATTAACTGAGCACCTTTCATAACAGGCGATTGCTGACTCCAAATCACCACGATTTTTGTAGATAACACCCATATTGCAATATGCTTCAGCATACATGGGCCTCTCTATTGCGGCTTTTTCGTAGCAGTTAAGGGCCGTCTCATATTGCATCATTTCCGAATAGACAACGCCAAGGTTATAATAAGCAGGCTGCTTGTAATAAAGGGGCAAAAAACTCAAATGATTGACAATAAACTCAAAGTAGTACGCAAGGAATTATGATCATGGAAGCTAGGAAGGAATTACAGCATAGTGTGGGTCAATTTTGATAGCTTCATAATACTTCTGAATTCCCTCCTGAGTATTACCAGCAAGCTTTAAGCTGGTTCCAAGATCTGTTAAAACAATTGCCAAGCACTCTGCTGCTAGCTTGTACAAAGGGTCAGCCTTTAGAGCTTTCTGATACATCTGCACCAAAGCAAATTCAATAAATATGAAAGGTGGAAAGCCTCACAAGGAAAAGGAAACATGCCTAATTTCAGCACGCAATGTAGCTTTAAATGTAACAAAGTGGCATGAAGCTTGCTAAAGCAATAGTCTAATGACCAGATAACTAAGCAACTATCAAACTGGTTTACAGCAGCTTCCCTGTTCGTAGAGCCAGAACAGGAAAACTCAAACCATATGGAAAAATCATAATGCACTTTCGCATATTCCTGTTTTTGGCTCCATTGTTGTGTTTTCATAGAAAAAATATGGTGAATAGGAATAAGATCATATAGAAATATTAAGATTTACTATTCCACTCGCAAGTATAGAAAGCAAATTCATATTTACAGTTCCCCAAGTGTTCATACAAGAATAAGGAGAAAACAAGAGTACGCGTTTTATAGTCATGCAGTTCTTACAATCAATTAGTTTCATCTTTATCGTAGTGGAAGAGTATGAAAAATGTTGTTGACTATGTTTACGTGCACAAGTCTGGAAAAAAAAGCACGAGGAGAGTGGTTGAGCTAATAGAAGTAGAAATCAGGCCCAAAGGTGGATGGCCATGAATCAAAAAACGTGATTTAGGAGCAGTTCAGAAGACTGGGGAAACGGAAAACAATAGACCATTTTAGGGTCCCAAATTCTTAAAGGGCTCACAATAAATTTGAAGGTTATATCGGCACCTTTCAACATGTCAACAGACAATGAAGGTTCTTGAAGAAAACAGATGTCATTTGAGAAGTACAAAAAGTATGTTTTCTTAGACTCGGAATTCAGATTTAAAAAAAAAAAAAAAAAGGAAAGGGACTTCAAACAACATCTGTAAAGAGTGTGTGAAAGAATACCTCTGCTGCCTCCACCAATCGACCCTCATCTTTATATAAGATACCGCAATGTGTGAGAGCACATGCATTTTGTGGATCCAGCCTCACGGCTTCAGCAAAACTCTCATACGCAAGCCTCCCCAAGTTCTGCATCTGTAAGCAAATCCCTTTACCAATATAAGCTTCAACGTTTTCGCCATCCTTCTCCAACACCCTCTCATAGACCGCAAATGCATCCACAAACTTATTCCTAGAGCGAAGAATGTTGGCATATGATAAAGCATCTTTCCCTTCAAAACTCTTCTTCATAGCACTAGCGCCCAAGGGACTTCTACTGGCAGAAGAAGGCTGAGCTTCTTTTAGAAAAACATGGCCGTCGACTAAGACTTTTTCATTGTCAACCTCTTTTTTTGTCAACTCCATCTGACTTGACAAACAGACTCAGAATCTTGAAAAAAAAAAGATAATTAACAGTAAGAAATACACTTAACCCACAAACCAAGTGACCTTAATTCAAGCAAAAGAATTGATTCTTTGAACATTAAAGAAGAAACAGTAGGAACTCCTAAGTTTATATAAGGAAACAAAGTAACAAAAGTAAAATGCATTCCGATCGTGTTCTCCTTACCCAATTGATCAATGAACCAACCTAGAATTCCCTTTCCCTTCCAATTATGCAGCCCAGTTGCTGCATATAAAGAAGATGAGGGTACTGACAAAAAAAAACCAAAGAATTATGCTTAATTCCTAAAGGACATCATCTAGTCATCCTCTCATTGTAAAAGTTGAAATTCCATGGAAATCGTTCACACAACCAAATGTGGTGCTCTCAATTTGATTCGGTAACTGATAAAATGAATTCACTACTAAAGGATTTCATGTGTGTCAACTGTCAAACAGTGGAGTCTTGGACAACAAACTGTTAGATATGGCTGATAATATTAGTTGCATCAAATCATAAGGCCTCTCGTTACATGGTTTGTACCATAAACCAAGTACAAGTGAGTATAATTACTGACCATCAGCGTAAAGACAAAATAAAGTCAAGATGAACATCGAATTCTTTATTTTCGCGACACATTATTCTATAATAACATGAATTGATCAGGTAGAGTAGGAGTTGGAGAACATATAATACACGAGATGAAGCAACTAAAAAATTTCTTTTTTGTTCCGATTCGTGCGGCAACTAAGGAACCCTAGGACTAAGGCTAAAAATGTCCAATTTCAATTTCATTTTTTCCTCTTTCTTTATTTTTCATTTGAAAACCGCTCACCACTTCGTTGTGCTTCTTGCCATCCGATATCTGCACCATTCTCTATAAGACTATGTAGATGGCTCTTTCCCTTCCTTCCTATTTTCATCCATCACCTCTCTTCACTATATATAAGCTGATTGGCGTACATTAATTTAGGAGCACAAAGAACCCAAAACTAAATAAGTACGTTTCGCGCTCTACACTCACCGAATAAGAATATGGCAGAACGAAATAATAGAAAAGAGCTCAAGTTTAAAGATCTAATTTTCTTGAAGAGGGTCATGCAGCCGCTATGCTTGAGTACGTTCAAGCATATCACCACCCTAGGTCCATAGATTTGGCACAGCTCATTTTAAGGGAATACCGAGTCAAACTTTGGTTTTAAAGATTTTCGTCAATGTTTTATCATACCACTATATCCATACAAGATAACATGATCTTTTAGCAGTACTTGTAAGAAGGAATATTCTTTCCCCCAATCACACAATGCGAGAAACGAACTCTCCATGGTCCACATTGTTCATTGTCTACATGTGCTGCTTACTCCAAAGCTGATGCTAAGTAATGAGGACTATCTTGAAAAACATCCTAGGTACCGATACTATACGCTATATGCAATTATCATAGAACCCCAAAGACAAAGGTAGATACTTTTAAAAAAAAAAAAATCTCCTAATCAGTAATTTCATCAAATACTTGATCAACACAATTTATCGCCTCTAAGCCGAACAGTACCGTACGTTTAACTAGATTACGAACAGCCATTAAATTGAACACAGACTCCAATTTCACATGATACCCAACCCTTTCCTTTCTGAAGTAATCAAGATTCACGCAACTAAAAAAACGGACGAAATAAATAACACAAAACCAAAATTAACCGACAAATAGAGAGAGAAGTGAAACTGTGCTTTGAAACAATTTACTAAGAGCTTACAATCAATTGATTCCGAAGCTTTTCTCACAACCAAGATTCCGAGCTTCCCACTACAATCTTCGAAACCAACACATGGGGGCGGCGCGTCTATTTCTTGTGCTTGGCTGAGGAATTGCGCGGCTGCGCGTGTGGGGGGGGCGGGGGCTCGGGGTGGTGACAGTGAGGCTTTGATGTCTCCCAACTATCGGAGCCCCTGGTGTTCGTCGGTTTGCAAACAATGAAGAATATACTATCAAAAGGTTTTCAAATTTTGCCCATTCTTTTCGATGCAATTGCCAAATTGCCACTGGTTTTCACGAAAGGGAAGAAAAAAATTAAATATATACCCTCTTTTCTACACGTTTTATTTTCTCAAATTTTTCAATATTGAAACTAGGGGTGGTAAACGAGCCGAGCCGGCTCGCGAACTTGACGGGCCAGCTCGACAAAAGCTCGAATTCGAGCTTGGGTTTTTCGAGCTCGAGCTCGAGCCCAAATCTAGTTGTTCGACTCGCAAGCTGCCTTTTTTTTTTTTTCAAAATTATATATATATATATATATATATATATATGGATTATTTTGTAGACTCCCATCATTTCCAAATTATATAGAACTAACTACCAAGTGGATTGCATCCTAGGAGAAACCCCCCTCATTTCGAAAATATTTTGATATACCCCCCTCGGCCACCCTGAAGTCCCTATAATACCCTTTCAAAATCAGTTTTAAACCCTAGTCACTACAATCGTCTCTCTCTTCTTCTCCCAGATTCAAAATCCCGCCTCCACAAACCTACCACCGGCGAAATTGCTTCTCGGAGCCATAACTCTCTCTCCGGTGGTCGGAATTCAATGGTTTAACTACCGTTGTATTCCTTTCGCCGAGCTCTTTCTTTTGATGGTGATTTCATTCAGTATCGAGCGCTGATCTGTTTCTGCAAATTTTTTCATTCGAGGACGGTGGTCTTGCCGGAGCTTTATTTTGTGTTCCACCCGTCGAAATTTGACGGGCCACCCACCGTATATTTTGATGGTAGTTTCGTTTATTTTTATGTTTTCAGATTTATTTCTATATTTTTTGCATTCGTGGGCGCGATGAACCGTGGGTGGTTATTAGCGGCGTCTAGGGTTTTGGTAGGAGGCGAGGGGGGTGAGGAGTCACTGTCTGTTTGATTTAAAATCTGCAGCATTTCCCAGCAATAACATCTCTCTCTATCTCTCGATCTCTTAGTGTTTGTTGGTTTTTGAGTGTTTTGATATTTTTCTTCAAATTTTGTTGATTTGCTCTAAAGTAATTTCGTTTTGTTTTGATTTTGCAATTGCAGCTTAATGAAGACCATTGATCCTTTCCTTGAAGGTGTCAATTTTTTTTTTTGAAGTTACATCTGATTTGTTCAACAGACTGTATACATTATTGTACATTACTATAGTAACATGTAGTTACATATGCGTATATTTGTGTATTTTCGATTTGTATTTTATTGGTTCTGATGTGATTTATAATAAAAAAACTGAAATTTTTAAATTTTTGTTCGAGGTTTTATGAATTTATTTTGTATAAGCCGTGTGTGTATACAGTTGATCGACTAAAAATATGGAGAAAAAAACGAACATAACTATGAATTACTATAGGTACTATAGTTAAATTTAGTTATTTTCAGTACTGTAAACATATTGTTTTGAAAATTAAAAAAGAAGAATTAAAAAAAAAATTAAAACAAAATTAATTTTTTTTAATTAATTTTTTTTTAACTAAAAGAATTAGAAAAAATAAAAATATATATTTAACAAGGGAATTGCTTTTTGCGGTTTGAAAATTGCTATTTGTGGTTTCTAACAAAACCCCCAAAAAAACACATTATTTCACTAAAACCCCAAAACTTTCCAAAAAAATCCAAAAACATCCCTCAAAACGCGTAAACGCCCAACTTGGGCGCCCATTCATGCAGTGCACGCCCAAGTTGGGCGTGCAATCTGCATTTGGGCGCCCGAGTTGGGCGTCCAGTGCAAAAAAAAAAAATTTTTTATTTAAATGTTCGAACGCCTTGGGCGTTCGAACATTTTTTTGCGAAAAAAAAAAGCCCTACAAATTGATTTGTAGGGCTTTTTAACATGAAATTGGTTCCGTAATCGACCTACCCAATGCATGTTACACATAAAAGAGTCGAAATTACATCAAAAAATCGAAGCCCCAACCCTTCTTCAAGCTTAATTTCAAATTTTTGATTTTTTTTTTCTTTTTGCTATTTGCAGTTTTGGGGGGTTTTGTTATAAACCGCGAATAGCATTTTCGTTTAACAAACAGGTTTATAAAAAATATATTAATAATAATAATAATAATAATACAGTTAATTGCCATC